AAGTGTCTGAGTAGGTCACGTAGCAAGTAGGACAAAAGGTGCGAGAGCCCACGTCTGCAGCCAATAGGCGCGCCAGGGACGCAGGCGCTTGCTCATTCTTAGACGGCCATCCACCTGTAGCCAAAAGACTCGAGCCGGACGCAGGTAGTCGCCCATCTGGTCGGCCTGTAGCACCCAGAAAGGTGCATGGGTCCATGAAGTTATCACGTATCTTTATGGTAATTGGCGAGTTTTTGCATAAGGTGTCCCAGAAATATACCGAAGGAAGCGGTATGACAGGAAAGGTAAGTGAGGCAAGGAGTATAGTAGGTAACAGCCTGCCGCTCCAAATAAACCCAGGCTGGAACGCACCGAGTGGGCCCGTGCGATCATGTGTTTTTGCACCGGAATTGAATCACTCAGGTCATTAATTGTACGAATGGCTATTGCTTTACACTTATCTGTTGTGGTCACTAGCATAAATCACCATAAATTTTGCAAAGTAAATGTACAATTTTCATTTAGCAGTCGTTCTTTAAAAGTAACCTAGTTGTTCAGTGAGAAATTTTTTCGTCAAAACTTTAAGTGCCCGTACGTAAGAACTATGCATCCCTCAAGGCTGAATTTGAAACAATCAAGTTATACTTGAGTGAACACTCCCTCAAAATTTCAGCTTTCCAACTTTTCTGGTTACCGAGTTTTCCCCGCCAAAACTTCCATATGCCCATACATGAGTACTACACATGTTTGGGAAGCTGAATTTGAAATTTTAAAATTGCACGTGGGCAGGGAATATCCGCGTAAAATATCAGCCTTCCAGTTCTTCTGATTGCAGAGTTAGCAGTTTTCCTGCAGGAACTTTCATACGCCCTTACATGAGTACAGTGCATAGCTTGGGGTTGATTTTGAAATATTTGAGTTGCACTTGGATGGGGAATATTACCCCAAAAATTCAGCTTTCTAGCTTTCCTAGTACCTCAGTTAGCAATTCCCCTCCCCCTCCCCTAAAACTTTCGTACGGCCTTACTTGAGTACTACGCATAGCTTGGGGCTGATTTTGAAAAACTTGAGCTGTACTTGGATAGGGAACACTCGCTCAGGATTTTAGCCTTCTAGCCTTCCTGGTACCCGAGTTACCAATTTCCCCTCTAAAACATCCATACACCCTGCGTGAGTACCACGCATACCTGGGACTGAATTTGAAATCTTTAGCTAGTATATGCACAGGGAATATCCCTACAAAGTTTCAGCCCCTCAGCTCATACGGTTCCCGAGATCGCTTTCCCGCCAAAAAATTTGCATATTTTTTTAGGGCTTCCGTACTCGGCACCCAGGCGTCCAAAGGGGATGGAATTAAAACGGAAGGGTCGCGCATGGTATGGGCAAATACTAGGTTTCAGCCTTCAAGCTTTTCTGGTTCTCAAGTTGAAAGTGGGTGATAAAAAGTGCGAACACACAGGCACACAGACACACAGACACACATAGCCTCTTCCCAATATGCGTTTTTGCAATAGTAAATTTGAGTGCTACTAACGTGGCTAGCTGGAGGCGACTGCGGACTTCCGCGGGCCTCCACTGAGTCGATACTTTGACGACGAGGCGACGTCCACTACTGTGGGGGTCTCGGTACCAGCTGATCACACGTGCGGATTAAGAGACGAGCTGCCGCTCCTATGCGTTGACGAAAGATAATCACTTTACTCACCTCAAATTTGGGTTATTAAACCATATAATACAATCAATATAACAATATACAGTAATACACGTGCAACAGTATATAACAGTAAAATAGCGACAACATTAATACAGCTATGTAAAATATCTAGATCATATATATCTAACAGTCGACAACAATCCTGTAATGTTCCCACAGCCTAATCCCTTAGTCAATCTCACCCGACTGTACGTGAAATATTTCAATAATAAAAACTGATACCCTAAACAACATCTTCCCGCCCACATATACCTACCGATACCCCTTCTCACCTAAGACACGGCCCAACCCCTGCAGCCAGCCCCTAATTAACGGCTTAACCCAAAAGGGGGGAGAGAGAAACTCATCAAAGGTAAAATAAAGTAAGGGGAAAGAGTTTATGAAGTAAAATAAAATAAAAATAAAAAAGGGGGCAGGGGATGTGAGAGCTGAGGGCAGGGGAGTCACGAAACTCACCTCCGCCAGTCAGCTCAAGTGAAGTGGAGAATGAGCTTTGCGTCCAAAGGCCGGGCTTATATAGAGCGAAGATTTGGGCGTGAAGGAGTAGGAGAGGTGTAGCTGACCCCGAAGGGGCTGTAAAACCGCATATACCCTGGTATGTTATTTTTGACTTAAGTGTAGTGAGCCTGTGATCATGCCGAACATGGTAATAATTTTTATGTTGTAAACTGCGGCATCGCTTACATGCGCCACTAGCCTGTTATTTTTGTTCTTCCGCGCAACGGGTTTAAAAGCGCGCCAATAATATTCTTTGTTATGAGGTCTAGCATATCAGACATATTCGTGACCTCACTGGTCGTAAAATTCCTTCCTACTCTTTTTTTTTTCAATGATTTGTGTAATGTTTGATCTGTAGGATAAGGAAGTGATACGAAATGGGAATAGCATTCCCATTTACACCTTCCAGCCACGCAAAAGACAGTCCTCGGTCTTAAACAAAAGAGGGGTTGTAGGTGGAAGGATAGGGAAGAGCGGAGGGAAAGGGGGGAGGGGAGGGAGAGCTACCAAAACGAAGTGGTGTCCAAGCTAAGAACGTACTAATACAAACAGGCACCAGTGGAAGATGCACGGATATGGAAAAGTTATGTACATATATATATAAAAGCTATACACTTATATACAAGCAAGAAGTACAAGTAAGTTATACGCATACAAATATGTACAAACACGTGTGGAAAATTTACCGCTGTAAGTTAATCCTCTTTTTTTTGTAGATTGGGCTTATTTAAGAATTTTCATTTGAAATTTAGCTGTCCAAAATGAAGCTTTTGTTTCTTTTTTTGTTTTTGGTTTTTGGCTAAAGAAAAGGACACAAAAAGAACGGGGATAAGTCCCAATTAATTAATTGATTAGAACTGTACAAAACCTTTTTTTTTTTGAGCAACTGGCATTGCAATCTGTTTACACAACCGAGAAAGAAATCAATAAATAAATTATCGTTGCCATTGTTCATTCTGTTCAAAGGAATAATCCGGAAATAAGTCATCGCCCAATAGATCCGTAATAATTTCGCCAGACCGTTCGAACCCATACTGCAGCTGACTGATATATGACTGCCCGAATTTTGGTGTATATTTCGCGGCCTTGTCGATATATAAGCGCCATGTTGGTGACTGCAGCAGAAGTTCGAAGTCGCCAATCAGGAATAATCCATGTCGTGCTCGCGACAGTGCAACCGTGACTCGCTGCGGGTCAGTTAGAAACGAGAAATCATCCGTAGCGTCACCTGAGCGAATGGTGCGCGTCGTGAGGAGCACGACATTATCGGCCTCTTTCCCTTGAAAGCCGTCGATCGTGCAGATCTCCGTGCAGTCGTTGCGTGTATGGATTGCATCGCGGGTACCGGCATAGAAGGAGAGTAGGGCTAAGTTGGCACTGAGGACGTGCTGTCGGAGGTGTTGCTGGAGGAGGGCGGCAGCATTTTCTTGATGTGGTTGGACTGAGAAACGCCAGAGATACTGCAGCAGCCAGGAATGTGGAGGAGAACAAGGGAGGCTGTGTGGACGGGAAGGGGGAAGGTGGATGCCGTAAGGAGGGAACGGTCGTCCGCGGCAATCATGGCTTGCAGTTCGCCTTTGTATGAAGCTGCTGATAGGTCCTCGGTGAGGATGGGATGAGCGAGGTATGATTTGGTAAGCTTCATACACGCAATGACTCTGCGTCTGTGCAACGTTTCCAGGGTGCCTTCGAATCCGTGTTGTAGCAGCTCATCGGGGACGTAGGCGTGGTACGCAGGTAACTGCTGCTTGTCGCCGGTGAGGAAGACCTGCTAGAGTCGGGAGAAGTTGGGGAGTAGGATGAGGTCTCCATCCGGTATGAGGCCCGCTTCGTCAAATGTAATGTGGGTGGCGAGGTGGCGGATGAGGGGGAGGTAATTGCGAATCATTGCAGTGGTGCCCACAATGATGCGGGGGAAGTGGAGATCCTGGACTAGCCGGAAGGCGCGACGGTCATCAGCCTGTTGTCCTTGGTGTGGAAGACGAATGGCCGTATATTTTTTGACAAAAAGGGCAACTTCTTCCGAAATGGCCTGGCTGTCGTAAAGAGTTTGAAGGATCTCCAGAATGCGGTGCTCCTTCCATCGGCCGTACTCCACATCGCTGATGATATTGTAGATCTTCTCCGCTACCAAGCTCTGCAGGAAGACCATTTGCGTCAGAGGCAAGTCTGGAACGAGGCGGCTGTCGTAGCCATGTTGATGACAGTGTTGTTCGTGGTAGCCGAAAGGACTAGGATGTTGGTGTCGCTGTCATTCCAGACTCGGAGGAGTTCCCTGGCATAGGCCGCGACGATGTGAGTCTTGCCGGTGCCAGCGGGTGCTTGCTGGAAAATGATGAGAGCACCACGCATCAGTTGCTGCAGAATCGGGGCTTGCTCCTCGGTGAGGTCCGACGTGACAGGGGCGCATGATGATGAAGGTAAGGTGATGGGTTGGGGAATGCCGAGTAGGGAATATAAGATAGATTGGCGATTGGGGGCTATGGTAGGTTTGAGGGCAGACGAGAGCGCACGGTGACATAGCTGCTTCTGTCTGAATTCGAGGCCTGTGTGTGAGGGGTCGGGCTGAATAAAAAGAGTTTTGAGCTGCTTACCAGTCTTGGCGTGGCCTGGTCCATCTGACGGTAATCTTCGTCTCCAAAGCCGATGATAACCTCTATTTTGAGGTCTTCGTCGACAGGTATGTCGATGATTGTGCCCTTGGAGTAGATAACGGTTCCTGGGTACTGCTTGTCATTCTGGATCTATTCGCCTGATCCCTGAAGAGGCTGGCTCGCGATACATATAATGGCATTAGTCGTCCAGAATCTCAAACGTCGGCTGATGTCTCTGGCTTTCTCCGGAGCTGGGATGTGCAGGAGGAGGCGGCCAGATTCCAAGGTGTAATCCGTGCCCTGATACTTGGTGTTGTATAAGGCGATGAGGGTCCGATGCTGCTGGTAACTGATGGCGGCGAGAAGTAGGTCTCGTATGCGCGAACGGTATCCTCGATGGATATCGTCTGGATTGAATGCCCGAGGAATGGATCAGGAAAGAGACAAGGAAGTGCCTGGTTCAGGACGCCGAGAGACTGCAGCACGGGGGTCGAATTCAGGTTGTCGACTGCCTCAAAGCCATCCTGGAATGGGAAATCGGGCGGAAGGAAGCAAGAACCTTGAATTTGAATGCCCGGTGGTAACTCCAGGTAATTCGTGCATACAAAATCACCGGTTGGGATGGGGTGCTGGTGATCATCATTGATTTTTTTTCGTGGATTTTTTAGTTGACGTCCAATGTACTGCACTGTCCGGCGGAGGGCCCCAGATTTCATCCTATTGAGGGTGCAGCGGTACACCATCGAAATGACGGGATGAATGCAGAGGGGGCGGCAAACGACTTTGCCGAAGGCCATCGTAGCGGAAGTCCTGACGTGGTTGGCTTTGATGTAGGCCAGCAGCTGAAAATCAGATGAGAGGAATCGGGGTGGAAGGTCAGCACCGGCTACCAAACTGCGAAATAGTCGGTGACCATGATTTCGTCGAAGATATGGAGACTCCGATTGTCAGGGTGAATGTCGACGGAGGGAATGGAGAACTGAAGTTGTGTGTCTTCAGTGACAGCTAATAGGGCCGGGGCGGTCTGATTTGTTGCAGCGGACTGGCCTGGCATGAGTATGGCTGTAGCTTGTCCTACAGTGGTTTGGATGACTGTATATCGAGTCTGGCGATCCAGTGCGATGAGGGCACTATATTCGACTCGGCTGCGATTGTTTTTGTTTATGTTTTGATGAGCAGCTGACGCTGCGGGTCGAGAGGTACGAGTGCCGCCACATACCGATAGTCGCGAGTTTTGTGAGAATGAAGAAGCAGCTGATGCTGCAGGACGAGAGGAACAGGAGCCATAGCGATCTGGTGGCGATGAGATCGCTGAGTGGTTGTTATTACTTGGAGCGGCTGTTGCTGCAAAACTGGAGGGATTATTTCCGTGAGCGATTGTCGTCGCAGGAGTCCGTGAACCGTTATTGTTGGGAGCGGCTGTCGCCGCGGAGTTTGGATGATTTCTGGAATGTTTTTGGTGAGCAGCTGATGTTGTATGCGGTGTCGACCGACGTGCTGGCACTGTTTCTGAAATAATTATTCATACCGTATTTGAGAGCAACTGATGTTGCTTGGTGAGCGGTAATGCTCACTGATGATCATTGAATAGAGAGAGCAGCTGAAACTGCGTTTCGGTGCGAGTGCAAACGGACTGATAGTGCAGTTAGTGTGAATGTGTGAGTGAATACTGGGGGAATTAGTTGCGTGTCCGTGGCCGGAGATTGTATTGGTGCGAAATGAGTTTGGCCAGTAAGGTTTCGAGTGATGTCGCACGGTCTTCAGGGTTGGGATCATAGATGTGACCGGCTCTGCGTCAAGAGATTCCAGTGCTTCTCTGTCTTCTTCTGGTATGGATGGAAGAGTAAGCGCTGGTCCTGTGAAATATACATAAGGCTTCAACTGATTCAGATGGACTTTGAAAGGATGCGACGTGGCAGCACAGCTGGTTATTATAGCGTTGGGGTGGTGGATGTCCACTACACGAAAAATCCCCGTCCAAAGTAGACGAAATTTGCGCGCTTCACCGTGTTTGGTTGCATCACGTTTGAGAAGTGCATAATCTCCAACCTGAATGGGCGATAGGCGTGCATGCCGGTCGTACACACGTTTCATGCGTTGTTATGCTTGCTGATTAAATTCGTGCGCCAGTGACCAAGCGATTTTCAGTGCATTTATTAGTTGCAGCTTGTACTGCTCCGTATCAATTTCGCTATAAGATGTTAAGTTTTCGGTCATAATGATGTCTTCTATCAGAAATCTAGGATCCCTGTCATACATGAGAAAGAATGGTGATTCTTTGGTCATCTCGTGAACAGATGTGTTGTAGCAAAAAGTGATTGCTGACAGGAACTCATCAAAATCAGGGTTCTGGGCAGTAATATATTTAGATAACATATTCTGGAAAGTGCGAAAAGTACGCTCTGAACCATTTCCAGCTGAGTGATAAGGCGTAGCATAGCGCTTGTTAATGTACAACAATCGACAGAATTCCTGGAAAAAGTCTGCCGTGAAGGTTGTGGCACTGTCAGTAGTGAGTGTGTTTGGTGAACCGTGCACAAGAACGCAATGATTAAGTAACGCTCGTGCCAGCGTGGTTGCTCTTGTATCTTCCACCGGCAAGGAAACGACATATTTTGTAAACAGACAAATAATATTCAATATGTATCTGTTGCCTCGCTGCATAAGAGGGAATGGACCGCATAAGTCGAGGCCTAAACGATTCATAGGCGCGGCGCTGGTGACTGGATAGAGCGGCTCTCGAAGATAGGGGTGTGGGTTGTTGCGCATTTGGCATGTAGCGCAGGCGCGTGTCCACTTGTACAAATCACTGTACTTAGTATCCCAATAGTATTTAGCCGTTTTGTGAAGTACCC